CCCCCCCTCATCCCTCTTCCCTATCCCCTCCCAGATGTCCTCACGGCTGCGTCCGAGATGTCCCCGGGTGACAGGAGAGCTGGAGGTGGCCCCGGGTGAGGCGGTGGGGTGGTGGCAGCGCCGTGGGTGGCAGTGTCCCGGGTGACACAAGGGGGTGGCGGTGGCCTGGGTGACCCGGGGGGTGGCCCCGGGTGACGCACGGGCTGTCAGCACCGTGGGTGGCAGTGCCCTGGGTGACACAGGGGACACGGGTGACATGGGAGTGGCGGGTGACAGGTTCTTGGCTGTGGTGGCAGCTGTTGGTGGCACGGTTCAATTTCACCTCCACGGACACGGTCGCTCGCCGGACCCCCACGGTTGGGCCACCTCCACCTCCAGGAACATCCTGACCCAGCCCTGAGGGCTGCGGTGACCAGACCTCCACAGCCATGTTGGGTGGACCCCAACAACATGACCACCAACCCTGTGCCCATGGAGGGACCTCGTTAGACCTCCACAGCCTTGTTTGGTAGACCCCGACGGACACCTCGACTGGGTCTTCACAGCACGTTGTTAGATCCCACTGGATGTGTTGACCACATCTCCATGGACAGGTTGACCAGACCTCCACGGACACACTGACCATCTCTCCATGGACACGTTGTCCAGATCTCCATGGAGATGCTGACCAGCCCTCCATGCACACGTTGTGCAGCCCTCCATGGACACACTGACCAGCCCTCCATGGTCACGTTGTCCAGCCTTCCTTGGACACGTTGTCCAGATCTCCATGGAGATGCTGACCACCCCTCCTTGGACACGTTGCCCAGACCTTCACGCACGTGTTTCCCAGACCTCCATGGACACATTGACCAGATTTCCATGGTCATGCTGACCATTGCTCCATGGACACTTTGTCCAGCCCTCCGTGGACATATTGTCCAGACCTCCACAGACACACTGACCATTCCTCCATGGACACACTGACCATCCCTCCATGGACACGTTGCCCAGACCTCCACGGACATAATGACCAGATCTCCGTGGTCATGCTGACCATCGCTCCATGGACATGTCATCCATACCTCCATGGACACACTGACCAGACCTCCACAGACACGTTGACCCAAGCCCAACAGACACATTGTCCAGACCTCCAACGGACGTGTCAACCAGATGTCCATGAACACCTTGACCAGCCCTCCACGGACGATGGAGGAGCTGGCATTGCCTGTGCCGGAGCCCACCGTGGCAGCCCACCACAGCTGAGGGCCACCGACGTGGGACCCTCCAAGTCAAACATCCTTCCTGGGCTCCTGAAAGGTGGTTGAACCTTCCCGGGAAGCACTGAGCGAGAGCTGGAAGCCACCAGCGGCCACCGTTGGCCCCAGAAGTGATGAGCGATCCCTTCTCCACCACCCTGGGGATTTGGACCCGAACCAAAGCCTCTTTCCCCACCGCAGCGGCCAGACAAGGCCCACGCCCTCCAACGCGCCGGGCCTTGGCCACGTGGGGGAAGAGGGAGGGGTGACACCTTGCGCAAGGTGACCGGCGTCGCTCCCTGCCCCGCTGAGCCACGGGGGACGACACGTGACGGCCTGACCTTGCCGGTTCTCCTCTTCTACCGGGGAAGACGCTGACGTGGTTTTGGAACCCACCAACCTCTCCACCATGGCCTGGAGACGCGCCGCGGTGAAGCCGGGCTGCCACCGCTCTCCGTCCCACCCCAGCACCAAGATGGGACCTCGATGACCCCGTGGAGGAGCCAGCTCCTGGGTGAAACAGCCCTGCTCCGCTGCCAGCTTACCCCAGGTGGGGAAATTTGGCCCCTTCTGCTTCTGCTGAGTCATGAAGAAATTTCTCCCCCTCTGGGAACGGGAAAGTTCTCCACCGGTGACGCGTTGACCCATGGAGATGGGGCTGGGATGGTGGCACTGAGGAAGAAGGTCTGGCCCCGGGGCTTTTTGCTCTTGAGGGGGGACACCAAGGTGGGTTTTGTCCCCCCGTGGTGGCGCAAAGAGGCCTGGGTGACTCCAGAAGAGCCAACAGGTCTGCCCCATGGTGGGGCCAATGGGTCAGCCCCATGGCGGGGTCAGCAGGTCGACCTCATGGCGGTCTCCATGGTGGGACTCGAAGATTCGCCCCATGGTGAGGTCAACTGGTCTACCTGCAGTAGGGTCAACAGGTCTACCTCATGGTGGTCTACCCCATGGTGGTCTAACCCATGGTGGGGTCACCAAGTCTACCTGCAGTAGGGTCAACAGGTCCACTGCTGTGGAGTCAATAGGTCAACCCCATGGTGCTCTGCCCCATGGCAGGGCCATCCGATCTGCCCCACGGTGAAGGTCACCGGGCCTACCTGCAGTAGGGTCAACAGGTCTACTGCAGTGGGGTCAATGGGTCTTCCCCATGGCGGAGTCATCAGGTCAACCCCAGGACAGGGCCAGCAGAAGATGGGAAGCTGGGTCTTCTCCTGCCCCACTGAGATGTGGGGCAGCTCAGGGGACCTTGACCTTCACCCGCTAAAGACATGGTGAAAATCCACGTCCAAAAAACTTTATTGGTTGACATCTCGACAGGGTCCCATGGTCATCTCCTGCCCCTCTCCCCAGGGCACGTGCCCCAGCGCTCGGACCGGCCGGCTCTGGGGGACCTTCAGCAGGGAGGAGGAGGAGGAGGAGCTGTGGGGTCCATCCTGCGGCCGTCGGGGCTGGGGGAGGGGTTGAGCCATTGCCGGGGGGGGGGGGGGCGGCCGGCCCACCCCAAAGGATCACCCCAGATCTGGGGCCGTCTCAGGGCTGGCCAGGCATCTCCACCCATGAAATCCCACCAAGGAGATGCCACCACCTCAACCCGTCCGCCCTGCAGACCCATATCTCTTCTGGTTTCCACCGCCCGCGCCGAGTTGTGTCCGTTCTCAGCCCGAAGCTCCTCCCCTCTCCCACTCTCGCCCGCGCACACCATGTTGGCGGTGATGGAGTCGGAGTAGACGCGCCGGCACTCCTCCTCCGAGACGATGGTGACCTTGGCGCAGTGGAGGTCCTCGGGGAAGGTGACTGCGGGGGATGGAGAGGGCACGAGGTCACCCAAGGAGGGGGACGGACCCAGCGATCCAGCTTGGACCTCCTCGTCCTGGAGCTCATCGCCCTCCTCTTCCTCTTGTTGGCACTGAGCAGGAGCTCTGAGGCTTCCTGGTGCCTTGACCAGGTCACCCGCGTCCCTGGGGAGAAGACTCCCCACCCATCTAGGGGTTGTCCAGGTCCTTCGTACCTTCAGGGCTGGTGGTGGACCCCCAACCCGAGATCTGGCAGGTCTCGCCGGGCACGGGGCAACGGGAAGCCAGTGGCAACGGTTTGACCTGCTTGGTGATGCGGACGGGCGGGAGGAACTTGATGAGCATCAGGTCGCCGTCCTTGTTGGTCTCGTTGTAGTGGGGGTACTTGAAGACCTTGGCCGAGCGCCGGCGCTGTTCGGTGCCCCCCGAGTCCTTGTGGGTCTGACCCCCGAGCCGCACGGTGATGAAGCTGATGGAGCCAAAAGCAGCAGGGTTGGTGGCCCCTCAACCACACCAAGCCGGGCCACGGTCCCAGAAGGCGCCGTTAAGGGCAGAAGAAGAAGAAAAGGGCAGAAAAGGGGGCAGAGCGAAGCCTACTGAGATGCCACCAACCCTCTTGGCTGGAAAGCAGGACCCCCCCGGGGTGCCACCTGGACCAATTCCTGGCTGGCCTCAGCCTGTCGACACCAAACCCGCCGGGCACCGCTGCCCACCCATGGCCCCTCCTACCCAGGGACGTGGCAGTGGGCGGCCGTCAGCACCCAGTTCTTGTCCACCAGCGTCCCCCCGCAGATGAACCGGTCGCCTTTGAAGAGGGCGGCTTGCCAGGGCAGGTCGCAGGAGGTCCCCTCGATCACCCACAGGACGTTCCTCGAGGCTGTGGGGCCAAAGGGACATGAGAGAGGAGACAGGGCAGGGGTCTGGAACCCTCTCTGATGTCACCCACCCCATGGGTGGTCCTGCTGGGACCTTCTAGTGGGACGCGGCCACGTTTGGTGGCCCCAGCCCCACGTCCAGGACAAGGAGAATCAATGGGGGAAGAGGCCGGTCCAGCTTAGGTGGGACCAGGAGGTCCATGGGGTGGACAGGGGACACCTGGGAGAGATGGGGGGTCCCGTGGGTGAACGAGGGGAGGTCCCATGGGTGGACATGGGGGTCTCATAGGTGACCGTGGAGCCCATGGGGTGGGCGTGAGGTCCTCTGAGGCAGGTGTGGGGCACCCAGGCCAGACGTAAAGGGTCGCATGGGGGGATGTGGGGTCTCGGGTATGGCTGGGGAGCACCCAAGGAGCATGTGGGGTTGGGGGACACCCACGAGAGACAATGGACCCCCAGGGTGGACTTGGCTGTCCCACAGGTAGACATGGCAGGCCCGGGGCAGGGTCCCACAGCTGGGGTGGGTGTCCCAGAGGCAGACGTGGGGAACCGAGGGCAGATGTGGGGCCCCTGGAGAGGACCCAAAGGTCCCACGGGTAAACGTGGGTCAACCAAGGTGGATGTGGAGAGTCCCATGGGCGGATGTGGGGCAGCCAAGGTGGGCGTTGGGGTCCCATGGGTGGATGTGGGTGATGCAAGGTGGGCATGGGGGTCCCATGGGTGGACGAGGGGCATCCAAGGTGGGTGTTGGGGTCTCATAGGTGGACGTGGGGGTCCCATGGGCAGACGTGGGGGATCCCACGGGTGGACCTGGGGCAACCAAGGTGGACGTGGGGGTCCCATGTATGGATGTGGGGGTCCCATAGGTGGGCGTGAGGGGTCCCATAGGTGGATGTGTGGCACCCAAGGTGGACATGGGGGGTCCCGTGGGTGGACTTGGGGCAACGAAGGTGGACATGGAGGGTCTCATGGGTGGACGCGGGTGATTCAAGGTGGGCGTGGGGGTCCTGTGGGTGGACAAGGGGCATCCAAGGTGGGCGTTGGTGTCCCATGGGTGGATGTGGGTGTCCCATGGGCGGACGTGGGGCACCCAAGGTGGACATGGGGGGTCCCGTGGGTGGACCTGGGGCAACCAAGGTGGACGTGGAGGGTCTCATGGGTGGACGCTGGTGATTCAAGGTGGGCGTGGGGGTCCCGTGGGTGGATGTGGGGGTCCCGTGGGTGGACGTGGGACCTCTGGGGTGGGGGCAGGACCCTCTGGGGTGGCCCCGGAGGGCCCCAGCCC